ACACAGTGAAATATATTTTTTTCGTTAGGTTCAGAATGATTTTGGCGAAATTATTGCATACACAAATTTTCACTTGTCTTATATGGCAAGATGAGCGTTGCTATTTAAGCCAAGATCGCAAGTTCTGCCTATTCGGCACGACATATATATATATATATATATATATATATATATATATATATATATATATTATATATATATATATATATATATATATATTTATTTTATATTTTATTATCACACCGGCCGATTCCCACCAAGGCAGGGTGGCCCGAAAAAGAAAAACTTTCACCATCATTCACTCCATCACTGTCTTGCCAGAAGGGTGCTTTACACTACAGTTTTTAAACTGCAACATTAACACCCCTCCTTCAGAGTGCAGGCACTGTACTTCCCATCTCCAGGACTCAAGTCCGGCCTGCCGGTTTCCCTGAATCCCTTCATAAAATGTTACTTTGCTCACACTCCAACAGCACGTCAAGTATTAAAACCATTTGTCTCCATTCACTCCTATCAAACACGCTCACGCACGCCTGCTGGAAGTCCAAGCCCCTCGCACACAAAACCTCCTTTACCCCCTCCCTCCAACCCTTCCTAGGCCGACCCCTACCCCGCCTTCCTTCCACTACAGACTGATACACTCTTGAAGTCATTCTGTTTCGCTCCATTCTCTCTACATGTCCGAACCACCTCAACAACCCTTCCTCAGCCCTCTGGACAACAGTTTTGGTAATCCCGCACCTCCTCCTAACTTCCAAACTACGAATTCTCTGCATTATATTCACACCACACATTGCCCTCAGACATGACATCTCCACTGCCTCCAGCCTTCTCCTCGCTGCAACATTCATCACCCACGCTTCACACCCATATAAGAGCGTTGGTAAAAACTATACTCCATACATTCCCCTCTTTGCCTCCAAGGACAAAGTTCTTTGTCTCCACAGACTCCTAAGTGCACCACTCACTCTTTTTCCCTCATCAATTCTATGATTCACCTCATCTTTCATAGACCCATCCGCTGACACGTCCACTCCCAAATATCTGAATACGTTCACCTCCTCCATACTCTCTCCCTCCAATCTGATATTCAATCTTTCATCACCTAATCTTTTTGTTATCCTCATAACCTTACTCTTTCCTGTATTCACCTTTAATTTTCTTCTTTTGCACACCCTACCAAATTCATCCACCAATCTCTGCAACTTCTCTTCAGAATCTCCCAAGAGCACAGTGTCATCGGCAAAGAGCAGCTGTGACAACTCCCACTTTGTGTGTGATTCTTTATCTTTTAACTCCACGCCTCTTGCCAAGACCCTCGCATTTACTTCTCTTACAACCCCATCTATAAATATATTAAACAACCACGGTGACATCACACATCCTTGTCTAAGGCCTACTTTTACTGGGAAAAAATTTCCCTCTTTCCTACATACTCTAACTTGAGCCTCACTATCCTCGTAAAAACTCTTCACTGCTTTCAGTAACCTACCTCCTACACCATACACTTGCAACATCTGCCACATTGCCCCCCTATCCACCCTGTCATACGCCTTTTCCAAATCCATAAATGCCACAAAGACCTCTTTAGCCTTATCTAAATACTGTTCACTTATATGTTTCACTGTAAACACCTGGTCCACACACCCCCTACCTTTCCTAAAGCCTCCTTGTTCATCTGCTATCCTATTCTCCGTCTTACTCTTAATTCTTTCAATTATAACTCTACCATACACTTTACCAGGTACACTCAACAGACTTATCCCCCTATAATTTTTGCACTCTCTTTTATCCCCTTTGCCTTTATACAAAGGAACTATGCATGCTCTCTGCCAATCCCTAGGTACCTTACCCTCTTCCATACATTTATTAAATAATTGCACCAACCACTCCAAAACTATATCCCCACCTGCTTTTAACATTTCTATCTTTATCCCATCAATCCCGGCTGCCTTACCCCCTTTCATTTTACCTACTGCCTCACGAACTTCCCCCACACTCACAACTGGCTCTTCCTCACTCCTACAAGATGTTATTCCTCCTTGCCCTATACACGAAATCACAGCTTCCCTATCTTCATCAACATTTAACAATTCCTCAAAATATTCCTTCCATCTTCCCAATACCTCTACCTCTCCATTTAATAACTCTCCTCTCCTATTTTTAACTGACAAATCCATTTGTTCTCTAGGCTTTCTTAACTTGTTAATCTCACTCCAAAACTTTTTCTTATTTTCAACAAAATTTGTTGATAACATCTCACCCACTCTCTCATTTGCTCTCTTTTTACATTGCTTCACCACTCTCTTAACTTCTCTCTTTTTCTCCATATACTCTTCCCTCCTTGCATCACTTCTACTTTGTAAAAACTTCTCATATGCTAACTTTTTCTCCCTTACTACTCTCTTTACATCATCATTCCACCAATCGCTCCTCTTCCCTCCTGCACCCACTTTCCTGTAACCACAAACTTCTGCTGAACACTCTAACACTACATTTTTAAACCTACCCCATACCTCTTCGACCCCATTGCCTATGCTCTCATTAGCCCATCTATCCTCCAATAGCTGTTTATATCTTACCCTAACTGCCTCCTCTTTTAGTTTATAAACCTTCACCTCTCTCTTCCCTGATGCTTCTATTCTCCTTGTATCCCATCTACCTTTTACTCTCAGTGTAGCTACAACTAGAAAGTGATCTGATATATCTGTGGCCCCTCTATAAACATGTACATCCTGAAGTCTACTCAACAGTCTTTTATCTACCAATACATAATCCAACAAACTACTGTCATTTCGCCCTACATCATATCGTGTATACTTATTTATCCTCTTTTTCTTAAAATATGTATTACCTATAACTAAACCCCTTTCTATACAAAGTTCAATCAAAGGGCTCCCATTATCATTTACACCTGGCACCCCAAACTTACCTACCACACCCTCTCTAAAAGTTTCTCCTACTTTAGCATTCAAGTCCCCTACCACAATTACTCTCTCACTTGGTTCAAAGGCTCCTATACATTCACTTAACATCTCCCAAAATCTCTCTCTCTCCTCTGCATTCCTCTCTTCTCCAGGTGCATACACGCTTATTATGACCCACTTCTCGCATCCAACCTTTACTTTAATCCACATAATTCTTGAATTTACACATTCATATTCTCTTTTCTCCTTCCATAACTGATCATTTAACATTACTGCTACCCCTTCCTTTGCTCTAACTCTCTCAGATACTCCAGATTTAATCCCATTTATTTCCCCCCACTGAAACTCTCCTACCCCCTTCAGCTTTGTTTCGCTTAGGGCCAGGACATCCAACTTCTTTTCATTCATAACATCAGCAATCATCTGTTTCTTGTCATCCGCACTACATCCACGCACATTTAAGCAACCCAGTTTTATAAAGTTTTTCTTCTTCTCTTTTTTAGTAATTGTATACAGGAGAAGGGGTTACTAGCCCATTGCTCCCGGCATTTTAGTCGCCTCATACGACACGCATGGCTTACGGAGGAAAGATTCTTTTCCACTTCCCCATGGACAATAGAAGAAATAAAAAAGAACAAGAGCTATTTAGAAAAAGGAGAAAAACCTAGATGTATGTATATATATATATGCATGTGCGTGTCTGTGAAGTGTGACCAAAGTGTAAGTAGGAGTAGCAAGATATCCCTGTTATCTTAGCGTGTTTATGAGACAGAAAAAGAAACCAGCAATCCTACCATCATGCAAAACAGTTACAGGTTTTTGTTTCACAGTCATCTGGCAGGACGGTAGTACTTCCCTGGGTGGTTGCTGTCTACCAACCTACTACCTAAATATATATATATATATATATATATATATATATATATATAATATATATATATATATATATATATATATATATATATATATATATATATATATATATATATATATATATATATATATATATATATATATATATAATATATATATATATTATATATATATATATATATATATATATATATATATATATATATATATATATATATATTCCTTTTTTAGGAGTTTAAATATTGTCTGGTGGTGACAAGGTAACATGCAGTCTTAGTGACCTTAGCGAAGTCGACAGGCTTTAAACCTTATTAATCGCCTTCAACACATTTCCACTCGTGTGTCAAGTCAGTGGTCACAGTAGTTTAAATGAGCTAACATTTCCCTTAATAGAATTTGATATTTCACGCGTTTTGGTCTTTGGCGCAAGAGAAGAACGGTCTTCCGTCGTCCAGATACATTAATAGACTTGTGGAAAGACACAGGTATACACAACAAACTTTGTTTAGACAACAATTTTCACTAAGACATTTCTAGCATGTTATCAAACTTAGATCAAAATATTCTTCACGTAATGGTTAATTTTACAGATATGTCCCAATTTCCACGAATCCGCCCAGTGTACTAGGTCAGCCAATGTATAATTTCTTTCATGTTAGTCAATTATAGATTTTTTGAAACGGAATAGAGAGTGATATATTAAGTGAAGATATAATGAAAGAAACAAAATGAGTCCTGGGGACCAAATTGGCTTCCTTGAAATTGTAAGTACACAACCACAGAGTGTAACCCTCTGTGGCCAAATCGGTATAATCAGGAACTTACAGAATATCTTGTATCTGTTATGAAGTACGAACTGAATATTACAGTATTATCACAGTTTATCACGACTCATTAGTGTGTAGAACCTGAGATGCTTTTGTAGGTGTGATTCCATCAGTCGAAACAAAATCGTAATGATTTTATTTCTTATGACAAAAAAACAATGATCGAGGGTTATCAAAAGTTTGTTCTTGACATACTAAATTTTGTGGCACTCGTTTCTTAAATATTTTTTTGAATGATCTTTCACTACCCCTTTAGAAAATTAATAAACCTTATAACTAATAATATATAATAAAAATAAACCGTTAGCAGATGCCTCCGTAAAAGCCGCATTAAAGAGTATTGTATATATATAGGGTATATGAAACTGTAATATATATAATATGAAATTTAATTTTTAGGGAGAGGCCTTCATACAAAAATGCTTCTGATATCTGTACATAAAGAATCATTGATCATGAGGATAACATAGTAGGAGCTTGCAGAGAGGCGCTTCAGACTCTCAGCTGAATGATCTCGATAATGGAGGTCATGTGGAAGGAGCCACCGTATAGCACTTGGTTACTACGAGACCAGTCAAGCACCGGAGGTAACGATGCTGTAGTAGTTCATTACGTGTCTAGAATCTCTTCTGGATGGTAGTGCCATCGCTCAAGATGTAGCCAGATGGTCCCTCCAGCACGATGGTCGCTCCACCTCTCTTAAACTGTACTGGTGTTCCATCGTCAAGAATGATACCAGAAGGTCCAAATATTGCTCGCTTGGTGCGAGGGTTAGCAATTCTCAAGTCATCAGTGAACTGGAGGTTTTTGCCCGACTTAGTGACTATTCCAGAAGGTCCAATGTGGACAATATCATGAGCAAGATCGTGGCTGAAGAGGTCAACGGAGCCATCAGTTCTCAGGATGCCGGAGTAGCCAACGTTGCCCTTCGGAGTCACGAAGCCGGAGGTGCTCCTCTTCTTACGGGAAACAAATTGAAGATCATCAGTGAATTGGATGTTCTTGCCGTCCTTGGTAACGATACCTGAAGGCCCAACTACAGCGAACTGATCGATCTGATTCTGGGTGAACTGGACGTTCCTGCCGTCAGGGCGAACGATACCAGAGGGACCGACATTGCCTCTTTGAGCCACGAAATATGGCACTGGCACAGGGCCGGTGGCCACGTTGAGGCCAACCTCTCCAGCAGTCAACTGGCGGTTCAGGCCAGACTTTGTGACGATGCCAGAGGGCCCAAATAGCACGATGTCCCGTGCGTAATCGTGAGAAAACTGAGTGTTGACACCATCAGGACTGACGATTCCTGAAGGCCCGACCTGTGCGCTGACGCCCACGGCCAGCAGACAGATAGCTGCCTACAAGGGAAAGAATTATTAAATCAACAAAATTTAATGCTACTGCTATTAATAATAATAATAATAATAATAATAATAATAATAATAATAATAATAATAATAATAATAATAATAATAATAATGGGTAAAGGAAAAGCATGCTGTATTGTGTTGATGAACTGATATGGATTAGAACAAGATTAGGACTGTAATCCCCTTGAGTTTATCAAAAATGGAATTTTGACATGCATAAAACTTTTCTAAAGTAACCTTAACTGAACCCTTTATTATCTGTTTCTGTTACAGTGCCTCAAAACTTTACTATAACGCAGATATTCCTCACCAGAATCTTCATTTCTATTTCGCTTCAAGTGGTCTCAGAACTCCAGAGGCTACTGAGGGCCGGATGGTTGTGTTGGAAAATTGTCATGCAGCTGTTTATATACTCTTCTACTGGGAGGGGAGAGAGGCAGATCACGTGCTTCCTCGCTCTGTGATTGGCTGTGTTTGCTCTGTCTTTCTCACCTGCCATTGGCTAGTTCCCAACCTATCTGCTAGTTTCAGTGCCACAAGGTCACTACTACCCGCTCACCCACAAGGTTTCAGCTGATCGACAAACTCCTCTTCTGTCTTTAAGAAACTTGCAGTTCCGAAGTGCTGATCTTGCTGATCTTCCATCAGAAAATCACTAGCATTATCCAGACTTAACTTGGCAAAATTTTAAGTAAAACGTCTTTGTTTTTATGGCATTGCAGGAGTGGTAACTAATTCTTTGGTGTTGCAGGTGTAACGTGAAGGCCAAGTGTGACGTGAGTGGTGTGGCGTCCAGGTGTAGGTGGGGTAGACATAGATGATGACCAGGTGTTGTGGACAGACAATTGTTGTGGACAGACATGAGGACCAGGTGTAGTGGGTAGGCTTGACGACAGGTGTAGCGGACAGGCGTGGTCGACAGGCTTGAGAACCAGGTGTGGCGGACAGGTGTAGTGGTTAGCTGAGAGAGCTGAAGTTGAGTTGTCTGCTCCTAATGTCACACGACTCCACCCAACTTTCCCAACACCAAGCAACCTGCCGCAGGTCCACTTAGTACATTCTCCTGCTGGTTCTGCTACGGGAAGGCGGTGGCGGTCATGGCCCTCCATCACTCGCATTTTACAAAGAATTCAGATACATTCCAACAAGAACTCGTACTTGACAGAGGATCCAGATCCATCCCAGCCAGCAGACATACTTTACAGAGAATTCAAGTCCACTAAAATAAGACGTCGCAGTTTACAAAGGATTCAAGTCCATGCCGGCCAACACTCGCACTATACAGGGACTCGAATTCCATCCCAGAGACACTTGGCATTCTCCTGAGTGTTTACTTACCCCGGAGTGAGAATACATTACTGATAATCTCCTAAACATTTGACTTATATGTGGGAACTAGTCGCTGGTTTCATGTCTTCAACACTGGTTCTAGTGACTTGCGAAATCATCAAAACACGTTTATGAACAACTAAAGGTGCAATGTAAGCGCATTTCTGGTAAGACAGTGATGGAGTTAATGATGGTGAAAGTTTTTCTTTTTCCAGCCACCCTGCCTTGGTGGGAGACGGCCAATGTAAACAAGACTAGACCCGAGAAAAGGAAGTTTTAAAACTTCATCCTAGTTCTTGGAAGTAACTCAGTTCCTAGAAAGAGACACCATATTCTTAGAAAGCGACTTTGTGTTTAGAAAGTGGTGTCATTCTTATAAACTGATACTTCGCTTAGACGGTGACACTATTCTTAGTTGCGACGCTGTTATTAGGAAGTGAAGCAATATTCTTAATAGCTGAGCACCAACCTTAGAGAGTAACTTAGAATCTGACAGTGCGAAACTTTCTGACCTTTGCTTAGCAAACTTTAACATTTCCTCTACCAAACTTTGACATTTGCCTACCGGAGATCCACTAGAAGCTCATCTTCATTTGACATGGAGCAAATACTCGTCCACTAAGAGATCTTCAGCGTCTTACAAGGCGAGCCAAGATGCTGGATATCGTCACTACCATATCAATACATCTGCAGCTGTCTCCTGTACAAGCACTTCCCAGAGACCAGTTCTCTGGGGCAGACAACATTAGTGTGATAATCGGCTGGTGTCTTTGGTGGTTTGAGCAAGGTCTATCAAAAGCTTTTAAACTTTAAGATTTAGGGAAGAGATTCCTAGCTTGGAGCGTGGTTCGATCTCCGGTATGGTGGAAACACTGGGGCGTCTTTCCTTAAGATACCTGCTGTCCTTGTTCACCTAGCAGTTAATAAGTATCTGAATGTTAGCTGACTGGTGTGGGTCGCATCCTGGGGACAAAATTAACCTAATTTGCCTGAAATGCTCTCCATAACAAGGGGCTTTCTATATAGTATGTTACTGATGTCGGCTGTGGTCTGCATAAGCTGTATCATATGCTTGTAGAAATAAAGATTATTATTATTATTATTATTATTATTATTATTATATTATTATTATTATTGTTATTATCATTATTATTATTATTAGTGAACGGAGGGCTGAGCTTCCATCTCTCCTTACGCCGAATGCCCTCATACGGGCTAAACGCTTCTAATAAATATATGTAAACAAACCACGGAACGGTTGGACCTCGAATTCAAGTGCAACTAATGCGACATTTTATCGCGTCAACGTTTCGCTCTCCAGGAGTTTTGTCAAGCCGTTACGTTGAACACCTGAGGGTTCAAGCAAGACTCAACCCGCGACACAGAAGATCTAAAATAAATTCCTAGTTCTAGGAAGTAACTCGGTTCTTAGAAAGGGACACCATATTTTTAGAGACACCATATTCTTAGAGACACCATATTCTTAGAGACACCATATTTTTAGAGACACCATATTCTTAGAGACACCATATTCTTAGAGACACCATATTTTTAGAGACACCATATTCTTAGACACCATATTCTTACAGACACCATATTCTTAGAGACACCATATTCTTAGAGACACCATATTTTTAGAGACACCATATTTTTAGAGACACCATATTTTTAGAGACACCATATTCTTAGAGACACCATATTCTTAGAGACACCATATTCTTAGAGACACCATATTTTTAGAGACACCATATTTTTAAGACACCATCTAGAGACCCAAACTTAGCCACCATAATATTAGAGCACCATTACTTTAAAACACCCTATTTTAGACACCTATTAAAAACCTTACAGACACCAATCTTACAGACACCATATTGTAAGAACACCAATGGAACAATGTTAGAGACAAATATTTTAGAGACACCATATTCTTAGAGGACCCATATCTAGAGACACCATATCTTAGAGACACCAATTTTAGAGAGACACCAATTTAGAGACACATATCTAGAGACAAACCATATTTGAGAGACACCATATCTAGAGACGCCATATTCTTAGAAAGAGACACTATATTTAAAATGTGACATTCTTAGAAACTGACAAAGCTCCTGGAGAGCGAAACGTTGCCACAGTAAAAAGTCGCATCAGTTGCACCTAACACATTGTCGTAACTTTAAAACGCTTGAGGCACCCATACGTATTCACGGTAACAACACTGGCCACTGGAAGAAGGTTAGCTGTAGAAAATTTTAGGGTCACCTCGCCCCCCCCCCCAAGGTCCTTGACCTAGACCAGGGGTACCTGTGAGGAGAAAGAGAGAGAGAGAGAGAGAGAGAGAGAGAGAGAGAGAGAGAGAGAGAAATAACGAGAAAAATTAAATTGAATAAATAAAAATGCTGGCCCACAGATGGCTCCAACTTCATCCTGTTCCCTACTTGTGTATTTCACAACAATAACCCTCAAGGGAGGTTCCTTGATGCTGGTGAGAGAGGCTCTTGATCTAGGGATTATAATAATAATTCATATTAAAAATGCTTTCAAATGAGCTGATGTAGGTAACAACTCTTAACTTGCCAATAAAGTTAGGGATCCTTACATTAACCTTGTCAAAGCCTGTGTAAACGGCTCTTGATTCGTGGGGTTTGGCTGCTCCAATTCCCTAGATCAAGAGCTCTCTACGGGCATTGGGGAAACTCCCACACCATCACTTTTGCCTCTTGACAAGACTATTTTAATAACAGTGATCAGGTAGCTTCTGAAACCATCGTTCACCTAAGTTCCAAAACCATCGTTCACTTAAATTCCAAAACCATCGTTCACCTAAGTTAAAAGAAAACCATCCTTCACCTAAGTTCCAAAACCATCGTTCACCTAAGTTCCAAAACCATCGTTCACTTAAGTTCCAAAACCATCGTTCACTTAAATTCCAAAACCATCGTTCACCTAAGTTAAAAAAAACCATCGTTCACCTAAGTTCCAGAACCATCAATTAAGTTCCAAAATCATTGTTCACCTAAGTTCACAAACCATCGTTCACCTAAGTTCCAAAACCATCGCTCAGATGTTACTAGCGTGGATGAAGAGAAACATTGCGTCACCTAAAAAACCTGAGGCTGTAAAAACCACTGATACAAAACCTTTTAACATGTCAAGACGCTTCTTGAGACCATCTTACAATATCACCTGCAGTTAATGACCCCAAAAAAAAATGCAAGTTGGTCAGAAATGAAGAGAACAATTTTCTCTTTCAAGGGATTAGAGGTGTGATGAATTGTTGACACAGTGTAGTGACATTTGCTCTATCTGGCTTCATGTGTAGTGAAACTTGCTCTATCTGGCTTCATGTGTAGTGACATTTGCTCTATCTGGCTTCATGTGTAGTGACATTTGCTCTATTTGGCTTCATGTGTAGTGAAACTTGCTCTATCTGGCTTCATGTGTAGTGAAACTTGCTCTATCTGGCTTCATGTGTAGTGACATTTGCTCTTTCTGGCTTCATGTGTAGTGAAACTTGCTCTATCTGGCTTCATGTGTAGTGACATTTGCTCTTTCTGGCTTCATGTGTAGTGAAACTTGCTCTATCTGGCTTCATGTGTAGTGAAACTTGCTCTATCTGGCTTCATATGTAGTGAAACTTGCTCTATCTGGCTTCATGTGTATGAAACTTGCTCTATCTGGCTTCATGTGTAGTGAAACTTGCTCTATCTGGCTTCATGTGTAGTGAAACTTGCTCTATCTGGCTTCATGTGTAGTGAAACTTGCTCTATCTGGCTTCATGTGTAGTGAAACTTGCTCTATCTGGCTTCATATGTAGTGAAACTTGCTCTATCTGGCTTCATGTGTAGTGAAACTTGCTCTATCTGGCTTCATGTGCAGTGAAACTTGCTCTAGCTTCATGTGTAGTGAAACTTGCTCTATCTGGCTTCATGTGTAGTGACATTTGCTCTATCTGGCTTCATGTGTAGTGACATTTGCTCTATTTGGCTTCATGTGTAGTGAAACTTGCTCTATCTGGCTTCATGTGTAGTGAAACTTGCTCTATCTGGCTTCATGTGCAGTGAAACTTGCTC